ACAGTACATTACAGTACATTACATACATACATTACATACATGCGCACATACACACATACATACATACATACACACATTACATACATACATACATACATACATACGTACATACATACATACATACATACACAAACAAACATACATACATACATACATACATACATACACTACATACATGCATACATACCATTCATACATACATACATACATTACATACATACATACATACACTACATTACATTACATTACATTTCGTTACATTACATTACATTACATTACATACATACTTACATACTTACATACATACATTACATACATCCACACATACATCCATACATACATCCATACATACATACATACATTACATACATGCATTACATACATGCGTTGCATACATGCATACATACATTACATACATGCACACATACATACCATTCATACATACGTACATACATGCATGCATACATGACAAACATTGCATACATACATTACATTACATGACATTACGTTACGTTACGTTACATGACATACTTACATACTTACATACATACATTACATACATACATCCATACATACATCTATACATACATACATACATCCATACATACATGCATACATACATTACATACATGCATTACATACATGCGTTACATACATACATACATGCATACACACACACATACATTGCAGACAAACAAACAAACATACATACATACATACATTCTCACACACACACATACATACATACATACATACATAAAAGCAACATTATGTGTTCGTGTGTGTGTGTGTGCTTCTTAAAGCTTAGGGATTGGAACATACACAGTATGGACAACAAGTGAAGTTTCGCCAGCTCCGGGGCTCTGGCTGGCTGGCTCCACGTCTCCGGCTCTCGCTCCGCACAGTCCAGGCTGCAGCTCCAACCGGCTCCGACCCGTCCCACTCTGAACCACTCTGGCCAGGCTTTGGCTCTCACTCCACGGCTCCGGCCCGGCTCCGGCTCCAACTCCCGCTCCGGCCGGCTCTGAACTTCGGAGCGTAGGTGGCCACGCAGCGGAGCAGGTTGCGCCGGCCGTCCGCCATCTCACACTGGCCCGCCTCCGGCCCGGCTGGCGCTCGCTCCGCTCCGCTCTGGCCCGGCTCCGGCCCGGCCTCGCTTCCGCCCCGCTCTGACTCTGGCCCGGCTCCGGCCCGGCTCCGGCCCGGCTCCGGCCCGGCTCCGGCCCAACTCTGACACTCCGCTCTGGCCCGGCCCCGGCTCCCGCTTCCGCCCCGCTCTGACTCTGGCCCGGCTCCGGCCCGGCTCCGGCCCGGCTCCGGCCCGGCTCTGGCGCTCACTCCGCTCCGCTCTTGCCCGGCTCCGGCCCGGCCCCGGCTCCCGCTTCCGCCCCGCTCTGACTCTAGCCCGGCTCCGGCCCGGCTCCGGCGCTCACTCCGCTCCGCTCTGGCCCGCTCCGGCCCGGCCCCGGCTCCGGCCCAGCCTCAGCTCCCGCTTCCGCCCCGCTCTGACTCTCGCCCGGCTCCGGCCCGGCCTCAGCTCCCGCTTCCGGCCGGCTGTGACTCCGGCCCGGCTCCGGCCCGGCTCCGGCCCGGCTCCGGCCCGGCTCCGGCCCGGCTCCGGCCCGGCTCCGGCCCAGGACAAAAAAAAGCATTCCCCGTGTGTGTGTATGTTCTGCAGACTCTCAGCATGACCTTTCACCAAAGGAAGTTGTTAAATTCGGGTGGAACCTTGCACGTGCGGGGGATTTAGGCACTGCCCTCCTTGGCGTTGCCGGCGCAGGCCTCACTTAGCAGGGTAGTGCCATGCTCATCGCAGCACTCGGCCTCGACTCGCAACGGGCAAAACTCAGAGGCCACAGGGGTTGAGGGGGTTGAGTGGGTTGGGGGGGTTGAGGGGGTTGAGGGGGTTGAGGGGGTTGAGGGGGTTAAGAGGGGGTTGAGGTGGGGTGACGGGGTTGAGCCAGTTGTGGGGAGCTTTGGGGAGCTTTGGGAGGTTTGGGAGTGGACGGTTTTGGAACGACGTGGAGCCGTTATCCTTTCGGTTCCTTCTGGGGCAATGCTAATTAATCAACAGCTAAGGGAGCCTCCTCAATGAGTGAAATCCAAAGGCCGCAACTGCCATGTTAGGGACCCCTGAACGCCTGGGTGCATCCTTTGAAGAGTGGTAAAACAGTACGAAGAAGAGGAGAGAGCAGGTGAGCCACGGTCAAAACCCCTAACATTCGTCAGTCCGTTTGAGTTTGTGGGATAATAAGTGAGCCCCAGTACATGGCCCTTCCAAACAAACCATACATTTCCGCACCCCTCTCAAACCCCTCAAAAGGCCTTTTGTCGTGAGGCCCCCTAAGACGACATTCCGCACAAAACGGGCAAGTTACCCATGGTCATTTATGGGGGCCAGGAATATTGATCAACCCCCATATAATGTACAATATCTGTATATATACATATACTATCACGTGTATAGGAAATATACATAATACATGTATATATATATATATACATATACATCAATCTACATATATATATATATATACATATATTATATACATAATATTATGCATATTACCTTTTTGATACGCACAAGCGAGCGGTTCGCCTCGACTCCCTGGTCCATGAGCTTGAGCAAGTCGTCCAGCTCATTGTCAAAGGCCGCCTCTAGGGCCTGATCCTTGGCAAAGAAGCCCCATATGATGGGCACATAGATGTGGACAAGCCAAGCGATCTAAACCAAAGAGTGGTAGACTTGCAATTAGCTTCACCCAACTATAACCTTTCCTGAGATAAAGTGGGCATCAAGCCGAACACAATGGCTGATCCATGAAATGGGGAATTTGTTCCATGGGGTCATAACAGCCAAAGTGGGATGCCCATTCAACCACTAGCAAGTTTCACTTTCAAGGGAATTGGATGTCACAGCCGCCCAAAATTCTTCCGCACCCCTGTCCTTGGCCTTCTTCGCCGCTGCCTTCTTCTCCTCCTGCAGTCAGGGCGCTTCTGGGAAGGCCACGGACTGAGGAAACAAAGGCCACCTTCCATGAAGAAGAAAGGCTTAAAGGTTTATTGGGGAGGTAGATTGGGGAGTGCATGTTGAAGGTTACATATTGACGGTATAAGGGAGGCATGACTTGGCGGCATGATTTGGCGTCATGTTGGAGGCATGTTGGAGGCACATTGTGGTTCAAAGCCTCTATACAGTCGCTTGCTATTGTTCGTATACCCCTCCATGCAACGAAAAATGTCCAAGAAACAAGCTTGATGAACAAAATCGCATAGGGAACAAAAAGGCTTGTTTGCGGTAACATATTATTAGAGCAGCTGTTGGCTGAGCGCTGAGCCTCGGCCATGGCCGTGTCCAAAAGATGGCCCGGTTTTGGACTCTGATGCTGCTTGGTTTTGACAACCCCCCAGTTGTTTCGCGTTGCTTCCTTCTGACATCATTCCACGTCCTTTCATTGTGATTGGCTCTTAACAGCTCACGTGCTGATCTGGATTCTTCAAGATGGGGGGGTTCCCCATGGGACACACTAAAACCACTACAATCTGGCATAAGGTTCTGGCAGAGTGAGATTGCGACCCACTTATCTGCAAGCTCTCCTATCATTCCGAAACCTGAAATAAGGGATCCCCAAGCAAAGCACCTACACGCTGGCGTTCGCTCGCTCTACCTTCCCCCTTTACCCAACCTTACACAATAACCTCCCCCCCCAAAAAAAGAACATCCCCAGTGCGATTTCTCCAGGTTTGGCTTGACAAAAACCCTCAAAAACATCCCCAGTGCCAAGTTTGGTTTGGTCCTTCTCCATCTTCTTCTTGGCCTCCCGTTCCGCCCGCTTGCGCAGGCACTTCAGGAAGACCTTCTCCTGCTCCGCCAGCTGCTCTGCCAACGCCTCGTCCACTCCGTCCTCGTTCTCCCCGGCCGCCAAACCAGCAGTGGAGAGGGCATGGCCCCCTTGAGGGGCGGCCTCAGGGAAAGAAAAAATTGGTTGAAAAAGAAAAGAAAAGGAAAAACAAAAAAGAACAAGAAACTGGGATTCGCCAACAACTCACCCGGTCTGTGAGCAAAGGTTCAAAAACGGGAATCCTGTTGTTGATATCAGTCCAATTTAAGTCGCGGTCGGAAAGAACAAGCCCCACAGCCAAAACGGCTCATACGTTTGACAGCCATGGCTTGTCCTTCCAATTCTCAAGGGAGCCCACCCAAACAGGTCTCCTGACAGCCCCCTTTGTGGGTTGAAGCACTTAAAGGGAAAGAAGGAAAGCGACCATAGGGAGCCGAGTCCTTTTCTGAGAAACACCCATGTTTTATGTTTTTCCCCTTCCTTTACACGAGGAAACTCCATCGTTGCCTTTCCGACAGGAAAGATGTTTGCCCTGGGAAACATACCACGCCCAAAGCGAATTTCACCCGGATCTCACTGCCAGCTCGGGCCAGGGCTCCATGCTCTGGGGAAATTCCCTATTGCTTCCTTTCCTGATCTGCGGAGTTGACTGGCTGGAAGTTTGGACTTTAGGAATGGAATGAAGAAACCCAACAATCAACACGTAACTCAACCGCTACCTTCGCGTGAGTCAACCACGCAAATCCGGCTCAGTGAACCGGATCTCGGAATCTCGGCACCTCCAGGCTGCTCAGCGCCGCGTGAACCTTCGCCAGGTGCTCTGCTGGCAGCGCGCTTAGCACAGACCGCAGCTGCGGCACCGTCGCAGCGGCGCCGCTGGATGCCGCGCTACCCATCCTGCAGAAAACCAAAAGGAGAAAAGACGCGGAAGGAGCGCAACTGGTGGCTGATGATGAGTACTTTTGTGCCGCGGCAAAAAACACAACGTTGAATCGAGTGAAGTTGGTGGGAACTAGCTAAGTACTTGGGGCCAATCATGAATCTCGTTCACTGCCTGAGCCAAAGCGCCATCGGGTTTGTCTAATGCACCATGAGAGCTGCCAGCTCCCCAAAACGAAACCATCGCGACGCCCCCCGCCCTCCCGCTGAGAGGATGGCAAAGGATCTGCGCCAGCAAATGCGCCCGCATCAACCTGGCCAAAACCGAACTCCCCAATTGCTGCCACCTATGCGAGGAAAGATCTGGCTGGCCCCAGGCCTTTTGTGTTCGAACCTTCTACAAGTCACCTCGAAACTGAATGCCTTTTTGGCCTGGATCCCGTGTGACTTACGTGTCAGCGGCACAGGAGATCGACGATGTCGCCCTCCAGGTTAGCCTGACTCTTTGGCACCGGGCTTCCGACCCAAGATGGGTGGTGACGGTGTCCCATCGGTTCCCTCTGAACATCAAGAGGGCATCCTCAACTGTTGGACACCAGCTCGACCGGTGAATCTCACTGAGCTAGCAACACCTGAAGATGCCCGGTGAAGAGCAGAACGAGCTTTCTCTAAGTGCCACGGCGCCCGCTGCCTCTGCCTGCAACTTGTTCCGCTCAGGGAGATGCCGGAAATGCGAAACAAGATCTGGGTCTGCGTTTTTGGAGGGTGCCCTTTTTGGGGTCGATTTACAAGGGAAACCAAACGACAACCACTTTTTTTGGGAATCCCCTATTCTGACACATACCCAATCTCTCCAAATGGCTACTCTCGGCTTTGGGAACTGGGCTGCACGTGTCAACCAACGAAGGACATGGCCAACCAAATGTCCGCGATTGCTTCATTCAAACTCCATCCGAGCCTTCCAGATCGACTTTGCTGGACTGACAGCACCTGCCAGTGCTACACGTCTACACAGACTTGTCTATCTCGTTTTTGTGGCAACCTGGGAACCCCCGTTGTTCTTGTTCGCTCTTCAGAAAAATTGTCATTCGGAGGGCCTCAATTTTGACATGCATTCCGGACCTCGCTCAAGGCCATGTGCGCTTGCGCCGCAAGCACTGCGGCTTGCCTGGGCGCCAGTTTCAAGCTGAAAGACCCCCTGAAGGTGGGTGTCATTTTGCCTTGTCACCACCAATCAGGGCTACCAAGAAGGCCACCCCTTCGTTTTCGGGTTGTTGTTCTTGGTTCGGGCTAAATTTAGTGTGGGTTTCGGGTCAAGCAAGGGCGAGTTTAGGGTTGGTGTAGCGGGAAAATTATCCTTACGTAACATAGCACCCTACCACACGTCAAAACCACGTTGCCATGCATATTTTACAGCGACCTGAGGTGTGGACCGGTCCAGCGTGGCAATGCCCGAAGACATGGCGCCTCGTGAGAGGTGCGAGCCACTGTGTTTTGGAGGAACCCCCTATGGGTGGTTTCTCTTTCACCAACCCCACGAAGCAAAACACACCATGCCGTCCAATATTTGGTGGAGGTCAAAATCACCCATTCAGTCAGCCCAAGATGTCAGTGCCTGCCAACGGCTAGAGCTGTCATTACGCCAATTTGGGAATCGCGTTGGATAACCCTGGATGCCGTCTTTGGTGGAAATCAAGCAAACCGAGCAAGTTACCAGAAATCTGGCCAGCCAAAGTTGTATGCCACATCCCCCAATTCCTTCGTGCACAGCCGTCTTTCCTTGAGCACTTTCCGAAAAAGGCATGCAAATTGCAAGAGCGGGAGAAATCCAGTCGACATGCTGGGGCTCTCGGTGCACTGCAAAGGGGACAAGGAATTCCTGGCATCTTGTGATTCCGACAGTCTGTTGCGTTCAGGTCACCAAGGGCTTGTCTCAGGGAACAAATAGGTTGGCCTTTTTCCTTGCCCCCATGAAAAGCCACCCCCGCCTTCCCCTGGAAGGAGCTGCAGCGCTTGGGCGAGCCTGAGGTTCCAGCTCAGGTTGCGGGCTGGATGCAAACACCACATCTGGAGACCTGTGGAGCACATGTCCCTTTGTCTCGGGACATCGAGGGTTGAGCTCTGCGTTCGCAAAAAAGAGCCTCGAGGGTTGGCTTCCCTTTCATTCCCCTTGAAACCAAGCCCGTACTCAAAAAAAAAACATTTGGCCCCAACTTGCACCCTGTGAATGCTTCGAATTGCCTCCCCTTTGAAAGTAGCAGGTGGATGGATTTCGCCCAGCGCCAAGGATGCCTGGGAGCCTGATCAAGTGGTCAAATGCTCTAGGTGTGAAAGTTGTCTTTGAATTCAACATACGCTTTTCGCAATTTACCCCTTTGGGAACCCATCATTCGTTTTGATATCAACAAACACAAGGAGAAATGCGGACCCCCACCCTTTCGAAATCCATTGGACTTGCCTCTGTCTTTCCAGATCTGTCGATGCACTAGGGTCTCAGAGGTGAAGATTGTGCAACGCCGCCAAAAACGCAAGGCAACCTGTTGCTCATAAGCATGAACACACAAAACAGCGCGGCCGGTTTTTCCCTCAATGCGGAATCGATGTCTAGACACAGCCGCTCGCGGCCATCCGTTCAAACTCGCAGACCAGCCTATCAGACTTCACGCCGGCATGCATGTTTTGCCTGCAAACATCTCTCTCAGCACGTGATGTGTCACTAAAGAGCTGACTGGAATTGACGCCCTGGCCTTGGCAACTCAAGTTTTCAGCTGGATCGCAGTCCATGTTGTTCTCGCAATGCTCGCCCTTTTGCTGAAAGTCGTCCCCGTTCGGGCTCATGGAGCACATGCCCTCAGGACTCTAAGGTGATGTGACGGTGATGTCTGGTCTAGCAAGGTCATGCGTCCAGCCACAAAATTCGATTCCGGTGATCCTCCGGTGCAAACGAACTACTCAGCTCTTCAATCTCATCAACATGTGTTGGCAAGGTTGAGAGGATGTGACAATGTCAAATCAATGCAAATTGTCTCAGTGTCCTCAGAACCGGGATATTCGCGATGGAAATTACGCCATTGCACAAGAGCAGGGCTCCTCAGACAGCGCAGCAATACATCAAGCATGTTCAAATGGTGCAAAACCAGCCATCTTCAATTCACGGAACAAATGCAGCAACATGTGCTAGATGTGATCAGCAAAGCAGCATGGGTTTTTTATCCCGCTCGAGGATGTCTTTCCCGTTCGTGCAGCGTGTGCCAGGCTTGCAACACGGAGCATTCGGAGAGCAGCCATATCCTCACTGAAACAGTGGCAACAGCGGCATAAGCATCGGTTCAACGCGTCTTTTCAGGCATCTGGATCTGGTTGTGTCTTGATTTTTGAGGGTACGCCTTTTGGGGTTGGTTTAGAGAAACACCGAAGCGAAAGCGACACCCTCATTCCCACAGAGAAGGCACAGCTCCTGTGTAATATGCATGCTGATTTCAGCCATGATGGACAGCAGGGACTGCCATCTTTGATAGGAAATAAGCACCCATCCCAGCTACTCACAGCAGGTACTCAAAACATCATATTATTCCAAATTATGCGCCAACTTTTCGTGCTGACGAAGGTCCCAACGGTCTGCATGCTGTGTCGTCACTCAGAATGTTGTGGTCGCGGTGACGGTCGCTTTCACGCATACCACTGGCATTTAGGAATAGCGCAAAGGTCAACATCTCGAAGACCTACGAAACCAACCGGTGAACTGCCGAAATCTTTGAAACAAAACCATGCTTTGTGACAACGTGGCTCTCTTTGCGCTACCAACCAGGTAGCATGCCTGACACGAACTGCTCACTTTCTTTGCAAGAGATGCAAAGAAAACTTTCGCAATTGAGCCAGGGCTGCATTCAGGTGAGGCGCATGCCACACCGCTCTCTCTGTCCCTCCCTCTCTCTGTCTCTGAATCATGTGTAACCGTGGCGACAAATGCAGGGAGTTAAGCCAAGCCATCACTGGGACTGGAAGGAGGGATGTTGCCTCTGTCTTTCCAGATCTGTCGATGCACTAGGGTCTCAGAGGTGAAGATTGTGCAACGCCGCCAAAAACGCAAGGCAACCTGTTGCTCATAAGCATGCACACACAAAACAGCGCGGCCGGTTTTTCCCTCAATGCGGAATCGATGTCTAGACACAGCCGCTCGCGGCCATCCGTTCAAACTCGCAGACTAGCCTATCAGACTTCACGCCAGGATGCATGTTTTGCCTGCAAACATCTCTCTCAGCACATGATGTGTCACTAAAGAGCTGACTGGAATTGACGCCCTGGCCTTGGCAACTCAAGTTTTCAGCTGGATCGCAGTCCATGTCGTTCTCGCAATGCTCGCCCTTTTGCTGAAAGTCGTCCCCGTTCGGGCTCATGGAGCACATGCCCTCAGGACTCTAAGGTGATGTGACGGTGATGTCTGGTCTAGCAAGGTCATGCGTCCAGCCACAAAATTCGATTCCGGTGATGCTCCGGTGCAAACGAACTACTCAGCTCTTCAATCTCATCAACATGTGTTGGCAAGGTTGAGAGGATGTGACAATGTCAAATCAATGCAAATTCTCTCAGTGTCCTCAGAACCGGGATATCGGCGATGGAAACTACGCCATTGTACAAGAGCAGGGCTCCTCAGACAGCGCAGCAATACATCAAGCATGTTCAAATGGTGCAAAACCAGCCATCTTCAATTCACGGAACAAATGAAGCAACATGTGCTAGATGTGATTAGCAAAGCAGCATGGTGTCTTTATCCCGCTCGAGGATGTCTTTCCCGTTCGTGCAGCGTGCGCCAGGCTTGCAACACGGAGCATTCGGAGAGCAGCTATGTCCTCACTGAAACAGTGGCAACAGCTGCATAAGCATCGGTTCAACGCGTCTTTCATGCATCTGGATCTGGTTGTGTCTTGATTTTTGAGGGTACGCCTTTTGGGGTTGGTTTAGAGAAACACCGAAGCGAAAGCGACACCCTCATTCCCACAGAGAAGCCACAGCTCCTGTGTAATATGCATGCTGATTTCAGCCATGATGGACAGCAGGGACTGCCATCTTTGATAGGAAATGGCACCCATCCCAGCTACTCACAGCAGGTACTCAAAACATCATATTATTCCAAATTATGCGCCAACTTTTCGTGCTGACGAAGGTCCCAACGGTCTGCATGCTGTGTCGTCACTCAGAATGTTGTGGTTGCGGTGACGGTCGCGGTCACGCATACCACTGGCATTTAGGAATAGCGCAAAGGTCAACACCTCGAAGACCTGCGAAACCAACCGGTGAACTGCTGAAATCTGTGAAACAAAACCATGCTCTGTGACAACGTGGCTCTCTTTGCGCTACCAACCAGGTAGCATGCCTGACACGAACCGCTCACTTTCTTTGCAAGAAATGCCAAGAAAACAACCAAAACACCCGCATGGCCTTCATTGCTTTGTGTTTGGCAGACAATCAGCTTTCGCAATTGAGCCAGGGCTGCATTCAGGTGAGGCGCATGCCACACCGCTCTCTCTGTCCCTCCCTCTCTCTCTGTCTCTGAATCATGTGTAACCGTGGCGACAAATGCAGGGAGTTAAGCCAAGCCATCACTGGGACTGGAAGGAGGGATGTTGCCTCTGTCTTTCCAGATCTGTCGATGCACTAGGTTCTCAGAGGTGAAGATTGTGCAACGCCGCCAAAAACGCAAGGCAACCTGTTGCTCATAAGCATGAACACACAAAACAGCGCGGCCGGTTTTTCCCTCAATGCGGAATCGATGTCTAGACACAGCCGCTCGCGGCCATCCGTTCAAACTCGCAGACTAGCCTATCAGACTTCACGCCGGCATGCATGTTTTGCCTGCAAACATCTCTCTCAGCACGTGATGTGTCACTAAAGAGCTGACTGGAATTGACGCCCTGGCCTTGGCAACTCAAGTTTTCAGCTGGATCGCAGTCCATGTTGTTCTCGCAATGCTCGCCCTTTTGCTGAAAGTCGTCCCCGTTCGGGCTCATGGAGCACATGCCCTCAGGACTCTAAGGTGATGTGACGGTGATGTCTGGTCTAGCAAGGTCATGCGTCCAGCCACAAAATTCGATTCCGGTGATGCTCCGGTGCAAACGAACTACTCAGCTCTTCAATCTCATCAACATGTGTTGGCAAGGTTGAGAGGATGTGACAATGTCAAATCAATGCAAATTGTCTCAGTGTCCTGAGAACCGGGATATTCGCGATGGAAATTCTCCCATTGCACCAAAGCAGGGCTCCTCAGACAGCGCAGCAATACATCAAGCATGTTCAAATGGTGCAAAAACCAGCCATCTTCAATTCACGGAATGCAGCAACATGTGCTAGATGTGATCAGCAAAGCAGCATGGTGTTTTTATCCCGCTCGAGGATGTCTTTCCCGTTCGTGCAGCGTGTGCCAGGCTTGCAACACGGAGCATTCGGAGAGCAGCTATATCCTCACTGAAACAGTGGCAACAGCGGCATAAGCATCGGTTCAACGCGTCTTTTCATGCATCTGGATCTGGTTGTGTCTTGATTTTTGAGGGTACGCCTTTTGGGGTTGGTTTAGAGAAACACCGAAGCTTTAGAGAAACACCGAAGCGAAAGCGACACCCTCATTCCCACAGAGAAGCCACAGCTCCTGTGTAATGTGCATGCTGATTTCAGCCATGATGGACAGCAGGGACTGCTATTTTTGATAGGAAATGGCACCCATCCCAGCTACTCACAGCAGGTACTCAAAACATCATATTTTTCCAAATTCTGCGCCAACTTTTCGTGCTGACGAAGGTCCCAACGGTCTGCATGCTGTGTCGTCACTCAGAATGTCGTGGTCGCGGTGACGGTCGCGGTCACGCATACCACTGGCATTTAGGAATAGCGCAAAGGTCAACACCTCAAAGACCTGCGAAACCAGCCGGTGAACTGCCGAATTTTTGGGAACAAACCATGCTCTGTGACAACGTGGCTCTCTTTGCGCTACCAACCAGGTAGCATGCCTAACACGAACCGCTCACTTTCTTTGCAAGAGATGCAAAGAAAACAATCAAGTCACCCGCATGGCCTTCATTGCTTTCTGTTTGGCAGACAATCAGCTTTCGCAATTGAGCCAGGGCTGCATTCAGGTGAGGCGCATGCCACACCGCTCTCTCTGTCCCTCCCTCTCTCTCTCTGTCTCTGAATCAGGTGTAACCGTAGCGACAAATGCAGGGAGTTAAGCCAAGCCATCACTGGGACTGGAAGGAGGGATGTTGCCTCTGTCTTTCCAGATCTGTCGATGCACTAGGGTCTCAGAGGTGAAGATTGTGCAACGCCGCCAAAAACGCAAGGCAACCTGTTGCTCATAAGCATGCACACACAAAACAGCGCGGCCGGTTTTTCCCTCGATGCGGAATCGATGTCTAGACACAGCCGCTTGCGGCCATCCGTTCAAACTCGCAGACTAGCCTATCAGACTTCACGCCGGCATGCATGTTTTGCCTGCAAACATCTCTCTCAGCACATGATGTGTCACTAAAGAGCTGACTGGAATTGACGCCCTGGCCTTGGCAACTCAAGTTTTCAGCTGGATCGCAATCCATGTTGTTCTCGCAATGCTCGCCCTGTTGCTGAAAGTCGTCCCCGTTCGGGCTCATGGAGCACATGCCCTCAGGACTCTAAGGTGATGTGACGGTGATGTCTGGTCTAGCAAGGTCATGCGTCCAGCCACAAAATTCGATTCCAGTGATGCTCCGGTGCAAACGAACTACTCAGCTCTTCAATCTCATCAACATGTGTTGGCAAGGTTGAGAGGATGTGACAATGTCAAATCAATGCAAATTGTCTCAGTGTCCTGAGAACCGGGATATTCGCGATGGAAATTATCCCATTGCACCAAAGCAGGGCTCCTCAGACAGCGCAGCAATACATCAAGCATGTTCAAATGGTGCAAAAACCAGCCATCTTCAATTCACGGAATGCAGCAACATGTGCTAGATGTGATCAGCAAAGCAGCATGGTGTTTTTATCCCGCTCGAGGATGTCTTTCCCGTTCGTGCAGCGTGTGCCAGGCTTGCAACACGGAGCATTCGGAGAGCAGCTATATCCTCACTGAAACAGTGGCAACAGCGGCATAAGCATCGGTTCAACGCGTCTTTTCATGCATCTGGATCTGGTTGTGTCTTGATTTTTGAGGGTACGCCTTTTGGGGTTGGTTTAGAGAAACACCGAAGCGAAAGCGACACTCTCATTCCCACACAGAAGCCACAGCCCCTGTGTAATGTGCATGCTGATTTCAGCCATGATGGACAGCAGGGACTGCCATCTTTGATAGGAAATGGCACCCATCCCAGCTACTCACAGCAGGTACTCAAAACATCATATTTTTCCAAATTCTGCGCCAACTTTTCGTGCTGACGAAGGTCCCAACGGTCTGCATGCCGTGTCGTCACTCAGAATGTCGTGGTCGCGGTGACGGTCGTGGTCACGCATACCACTGGCATTTAGGAATAGCGCAAAGGTCAACACCTCAAAGACCTGCGAAACCAGCCGGTGAACTGCCGAATTTTTGGGAACAAACCATGCTCTGTGACAACGTGGCTCTCTTTGCGCTACCAACCAGGTAGCATGCCTAACACGAACCGCTCACTTTCTTTGCAAGAGATGCAAAGAAAACAATCAAGTCACCCGCATGGCCTTCATTGCTTTCTGTTTGGCAGACAATCAGCTTTCGCAATTGAGCCAGGGCTGCATTCAGGTGAGGCGCATGCCACACCGCTCTCTCTGTCCCTCCCTCTCTCTCTCTGTCTCTGAATCAGGTGTAACCGTAGCGACAAATGCAGGGAGTTAAGCCAAGCCATCACTGGGACTCGAAGGAGGGATGTTGCCTCTGTCTTTCCAGATCTGTCGATGCACTAGGGTCTCAGAGGTGAAGATTGTGCAACGCCGCCAAAAACGCAAGGCAACCTGTTGCTCATAAGCATGCACACACAAAACAGCGCGGCCGGGTTTTCCCTCAATGCGGAATCGATGTCTAGACACAGCCGCTCGCGGCCATCCGTTCAAACTCGCAGACTAGCCTATCAGACTTCACGCCGGCATGCATGTTTTGCCTGCAAACATCTCTCTCAGCACATGATGTGTCACTAAAGAGCTGACTGGAATTGACGCCCTGGCCTTGGCAACTCAAGTTTCCAGCTGGATCGCAGTCCATGTCGTTCTCGCAATGCTCGCCCTTTTGCTGAAAGTCGTCCCCGTTCGGGCTCATGGAGCACATGCCCTCAGGACTCTAAGGTGATGTAACGGTGATGTCTGGTCTAGCAAGGTCATGCGTCCAGCCACAAAATTCGATTCCGGTGATGCTCCGGTGCAAACGAACTACTCAGCTCTTCAATCTCATCAACATGTGTTGGCAAGGTTGAGAGGATGTGACAATGTCAAATCAATGCAAATTGTCTCAGTGTCCTGAGAACCGGGATATTCGCGATGGAAATTATCCCATTGCACCAAAGCAGGGCTCCTCAGACAGCGCAGCAATACATCAAGCATGTTCAAATGGTGCAAAAACCAGCCATCTTCAATTCACGGAATGCAGCAACATGTGCTAGATGTGATCAGCAAAGCAGCCTGGTGTTTTTATCCCGCTCGAGGATGTCTTTCCCGTTCGTGCAGCGTGTGCCATGCTTGCAACACGGAGCATTCGGAGAGCAGCTATATCCTCACTGAAACAGCGGCAACAGCGGCATAAGCATCGGTTCAACGCGTCTTTTCATGCATCTGGATCTGGTTGTGTCTTGATTCTTGAGGGTACGCCTTTTGGGGTTGGTTTAGAAACACCGAAGCGAAAGCGACACCCTCATTCCCACAGAGAAGCCACAGCTCCTGTGTAATGTGCATGCTGATTTCAGCCATGGTGGACAGCAGGGACTGCCATCTTTGATAGGAAATGGCACCCATCCCAGCTACTCACAGCAGGTACTCAAAACATCATATTTTTCCAAATTCTGCGCCAACTTTTCGTGCTGACGAAGGTCCCAACGGTCTGCATGCTGTGTGGTCACTCAGAATGTCGTGGTCGCGGTGACGGTCGCGGTCGCGCATACCACTGGCATTTAGGAATAGCGCAAAGGTCAACACCTCGAAGACCTGCGAAACCAGCCGGTGAACTGCCGATTTTTTGGGAACAAACCATGCTCTGTGACAACGTGGCTCTCTTTGCGCTACCAACCAGGTAGCATGCCTGACACGAACCGCTCACTTTCTTTGCAAGAGATGCAAAGAAAACAATCAAGTCACCCGCATGGCCTTCATTGCTTTCTGTTTAGCAGACAATCAGCTTTCGCAATTGAGCCAGGGCTGCATTCAGGTGAGGCGCATGCCACACCGCTCTCTTTGTGCGACAAATTCAGGGAGTCAAGCCAAGCCATCACTGGGAATGCCTGTTTCGGAAACTAGAGTGGCAGTGAACATTGTTGAGTCCTTTTCACAGGTCTGGGCAAAATGTTCAATTCAACTGCAGGAGCTACGCAAATCTAGCCGCAAACGGGAAACCTCCATGCTGGATTCTGGGGGACCAGCCCTGCGGTACCTTGTTTTCTGAGCAAACTAACAAACTTGACCAACGCGGAGTTTTGAGCAAGCCAACACGAAACTGCGACTCGGAACTAAAGAAGTTTGCACTGCCGAAGTCTCCGCACCTTCACCTGGAAGTCTTAGCTCGGCGCATGTCTTGCACCGCCCTCCTCTGCTCCTCCGCGGGGCCCGGGGGCGGAGAGGCGCGCAAGCGCGCCACCGCCGCCTCAAGCTGCTCCGTGCAGGCTGCATCGGAACTCGGACTTGACTTCCCTTTAAACCAAAGGGTACCCTCCAACAATAAGAGCACGCACACACCGCGTCTCCATCGCGTGCAGCAATGGCTTCATGGGAATTCATACAACATCGACGAATGCTCCAAACTACCACCACCAAAATCATTCCAGCTCAAAACTGCCCAAAATCATGAGCCTCTCTACGCACCCCACCAAACACAAAAAAAAAAAAAGCACAACTCGCACAATGGCCAAATGGATGAATCACCGAATCATCCACTCGCCTGCAGCGCTCCACTCGCCATGACCGCGAGCACCGCAGCAGCATCCGGCTCGACAATCGGATCCAGGCCTCGCATGAAAATAAATCCGCGCCCCTATCACTCAAAGTGCTGCGCCTGCCACAGAATCCAGCTCTAGAAGCGAGCTCTTGCCCGGGGGGGCTGGGGGGGGTGGGGGGGGGGCAATGGTAAGCACGCCCGCTCAGGTGCACCCGCTGGGGGGGGAGGGGGGGGGATGGCAAGCACACCCGCTGCTGCGGGGGGCGCACCCGCTCAGCACTGCATCCATGCGCAATGGTAAGAGGTGGGGGGGGGGCGGGGGAATGATGTACCCGCTCAGCACTGTTTCCACGGTGGGGGAGGGTGGGTTGGGGGGGGAAACGGTAAGCACGCCCGCTCAACTGTAACCGCCCAGCGGGGGGGGGGGGCACACCCGCTCAAGTGCACCTGGGAGGTACCTTGTGGTTGTGCTCTTTTGTAAGTCCCTGGACCTATTTCCCTCGATAATTCAATGGATGGAGTGAATCTGGAAGTTCCTGGTAAGCGTGGTTGTTGGAATAACCTGTAAGCGGTCCGCAATGGCTTCCTGTTTTAGCCACTGCGTCACATGAGTAGTCTAGTGTACAAGATGATCAACACATAAGTCAAACACGGGGGGGGGTGGAATGGCAAGTGCACCCGCTCGAGAATGTTTCTGACCTAATAAGTATGGTAAGTGCACCCGCTCAAGAAATGTTTTTACGGTGGTGGTGCTTGGAAGTTGGCGGTTAGTGGTTGGTGGCTGGTGGTTGGCGGTGGTAGCGTAGACCAGGAGGCTGAGAAGACAAAGTGCACAGACGAGTTTATGGTCGGGTGGGTGGCCAAGGGCATAAAAGAGTTGGCTCCGAGTGGCCGGAAATGGTGGTGCTGCGCAGCAAAACATCAAAATGGGGCACAGACGAGTTTGCACATGAAGGGCACAAACGAGTTAGCCATCAAGGGCACAGCCGAAGGCACACCCCTCGCATGGCCGCCGCAAGAGGGTTCAACGCGTTGAGACGACCAACAAAAAAACGCGCCCCGTCGAAACAGGGCCTCAGGTGCCTCCCTGTGCGGACGATACATCTTGACATCCAACATCTCAGCTCGTCGCTCTGCAGCGCCGCCTGGGCTCATGGCTTCGGCGAAACAAATTATCGGCCGACCCACCCGAGCGCGCGGCAAAGGTCTCCGACACGGCGCGGTCGCCCAGCCGCCCGAGGAAGAGCAGGGCATCCTCAAGCACGAGGCATGTCTGCGGCAAACATCGCTGCGCTTGGTAAAAGGAGGGCCACTCTTGAAAAAGCGAATCAACAACAGCCGCATGGGGGCTTCCCAAAACAAGAAGCCCCCAGCCCTCCAAAAGCCAAAGGGGTCCCCCACACGTTTGCGGAAATCCCCCCATGGAATTGGCCCCCTCCTGCTGGTCCGGCTCATCATCTTCACACAGACCTCAAGGACTTGAAGCCGGTCTTGCACCCTCAAGGCTCAAGACTTGAACCATGCGGCAAAGATGGGGCATGGCCAAACAGCTGGGGGGTGCCAACATGATAGTGGCCGACTGTGCTTGACAAGCCCCTAGGGGGCTATTCCCCTTCGAGGCCAACACACGGGGTCAACCGAAACGGTGACTGAGCCGCCTACTGCGCAGCACCTCAACCTGCAGCAATCCGCCCTCGAACCCAAGCGAGTTTCCGACTTTCGCCTCGCCTCTTCCGGGCTCAGGACGTAGCCGAAAGGGTCTCCTCTCAAGAAAAAATTGGGAATTCATTTGGCTCGTTCCATGTTGGAAGCCTGGGAAACTCATGCCATGCTTCCAAGAATGCACCTACATATGGCAAGACTACCATCATCTGTCTTCATTCATGATGGTTGGAAAGAGAGAAACTTTACTCGGGGCCCCTTTGGTGGATTTCTGCCCATCAACACCTCGTAGAGAAACCTCGTGAGTGGATTCCCTGCTAAATTCAGTCTCCCTTTCAAGTTCCTCGTCAAATCGGCATATCTCGAGAAGGGTTATCAATCAAATGGTTTGTTTTTCCTCTTGACTTTACAAGTACTCCATTCAGGCTCCCCCTGCCTGTTGACACATTCCAGCTTTTTGTGTTGTTGAGGGTACCCTCCTTTGGTCTAAATTTCACCCACCCATTTTGGAGGCCCCCTACAGAAAGACACATACCCACCAGCCCGATGTCCGATGTCCTCGTCGGAGCCCTGCATGCACCACTGCATCCTGCCAAACAAATCTCTTTCGCATCGAAACCTCTCAGCCAGGCCCAGATTCGTTTGCATTGGGGACCCCTTTTTGCTTAAAGGGAACCAAAAGGATGCCAGGGTCCCTTTTGTTTTGAAACATGCAGCATGGGTCAGGAAAATCACAGGGCCAGGGTAAAGCAAATCAGGGAAACTTTGGGATCCACTCCTTTCGGCCCTGTTTGGCAACATAGCGCCCGCTGGCAGCGTGGATTGTGGTTTAAGGGGACCTCCCTTTATATTCTAAAGAAAGGTGCCAAATGGCACAAAAACACCTGCCCCAAGATGAAGTCAAATCTTACGGTCATTACAGCCCGCAGGTTGCTATACACAAGGAAGACTCAAAGCAAGTGTCGCCAGCATTCGTGAGCACCTTGGACGACCCGTTGGGTTCTGTGGAGGCTCTGCCAAGGACGCCAAACTAAGATCAACAATTTAATGACTCAAGGATCCCTTTGAGGCAAACCCTCATCTCGAATCCAGTCAGGATTGGCTGAAAGTCCACAAGAATGATCCTGGAAACTAGTACAAGTCCTGGAATTGGCCGCAAGGTGATGCATAGCTTCTTACCACACCAGGGCCCCCTCCTCAAACGGGTCTCAAAGTGTGGTGTCGCACCCTTCCGCGAACCAAGGGAGCTCGGTGTCAAAGCTGAGCCCTTCAAACGAGCCCAAAACCTATTAGCTTTCGGTTAGGCCAATGCTGAAACCACATAGCAAGCTAGTAGAACCATCTGGTGCTCAGCAGAGAATAAAGGAATGACCCCTATAAACCATCCCTATGGTTTCCTTTCAGGGAATCTCCAGGTTCATTCCCTCATTCCCTGCCTATCGCACCAGCAAGCCATCTGAGGCCTCGACTGCGGCCAGGCTGCACAAGTGGCCCCGACTGGCTCTTGCCAGCGCCTCACCGGCCTGCACGGAGTCACCAGTCAAGCCCCCTGGACCGCACTGATGACTTGTTTGTGTTGTTTGCTTGTTGCTTTTGGTTTGGTGTTCCGTTTGCTTGCTTTTTTGTTGTGTTTTGTGGGGGGGGGGGGGCATCTCTCATTTTAGTTGGAGATAAGGTGGACATCATTGGCATGGGATGGGTGTGTGCTTTATGTCCGAATATTTTGTTCATAGTTATTTGAGTGGGCGGCCGGATGAAATATCACCCACTCTTGAATACCAGCCCCGACCCCAAATTCAGATGGCTGTTTTTCTCAAAAGATGGGGTGGGGTCCCTTTGAATTCCTGCAATCACCAGACCGAAAAGGGCCCTCGCCAAAACAAAAGTATGGAGTCCGGCCATGAACCCCTCTCAAGGGACACCAAAGGAGGATGTTCAAAAGAAGCACCCGTGGATTAAACATCTTGCGGGAGGTCTGGCCCCATCTTGCCAGAATGGGCCAACTCTCAACTTTGAACACACTCCTTTTGCTTTTTTTTTCCCAAGGGCCCATGGGAACAACCTTTGGGTCAAAATTTAACTGCTGCGGTTACGCAGGGAATTGGTCTTTGTTTCCAAGGGGCCCAAAAATGGGTTCCACTTCTGAGCCGCGGGCCTTTGGGTGCCGAGTTCGCCACGAGATCTCGGTCCGAGCGGCGCCTTGTGCCCGGCGGCTTCCGCCAGGTCCTCCGCCCGGCAGAGCTGCTCGTAGCTCTCGGCCAGCGCCTGCCAGGTGCGTCGAAGGATCAGGGGAGGGGGTTGGAGCGGGGGAGTCTGAAATGACCAGCTGTTGGCATGGAACCGTTTTTCTCTATTGCACCGAAACAAGGAACCCCACCATAGCACAGTTCATGTATCCCATCTGCCAGAGTCCCCAAGGCGCCGCACGCATCACGCGCGTGCAAAGCTTTTCAGCACTCCGGGCGTGGGCAGTTCCGCAACGGGGAGCGCCAGCAGCTGGCGCAGACGTGGGACACCCGGCAGTAGGAGCACGGCCGAGCGCAGCACTGACCGCAGTTCCAGGCTTCGCAGCTCTCGCACTGCATGACCTATCCGGGGAACCATTTTTTTTTGTGGGTATAAGAATAGTTGATTGGCCTTACTACCCTCCCCAAATTGGCTAGAAACATGTTGACTGGCCTTCCTCCCCGGCCGATTTTCAATCTGTCGCCTCGCCAAAACAGCCAACCGGAGTTTGGGCGCTGCTCAGTTGCGGGAGTCTGGAGGCTTGTATTGGCTGATTTGACCCACAAAGGAAAGCCACCTCACGATGTGTGGTACGTCTTTGAAAGAGGATGCCAAAAAGGACACCTAATTTTGACCAGCGGCCCCCCCCCCCCGCTTGGTTGTGAGGAACAGTCATGGAACTCTAAATAGGTATTTCAGACAAGCAATGTAAAGCCCTGCCAAAAAGGGAAAGCTGCCACGAGGGCAACCAAGGCACCGCAGCATCGGACTGCAACGCGCAGCGCTGGCATAGGCCCAGATTTTCCGAGCACACACCTAGGGCCGACAGCGGATTTGGAATCCCTTCACGCATCAAAAAACGGCACCCCGCTGGAGTCGACCTGGGGGGACCCTGAGCGCAGCGCCACATGATTCGGAACTTCCGCGGCAGGTCCTGACATCTCGGGGCGCGCATTGACTTGGACAAAATGCCCATTTACCTGTTGGTAGGGATCAAACCCTGAACAGGGAATGGTTCCGGCTGATGGGCAAAAACCTGCACCGGGATGGAGGAACTGGGATACACCACCTACCAACTGACATGGATTTCAGTATGAGTCTTGCTTTTTCGGTGCAACTTGTTCTTGCTGGTTCTCAGCTGGGAAAGAGGGAACCTATGAACCATCTGGGATCCATTGGCGCATGCCCATTCCTATCGAAGCAAAGGGAAGCCAGGAGCCAATGGACATCCCAACTAAGCCCATATCAGGCACAGGCGCACGCAGGCGCCGGTCTCGGATTCAGGGCTGGGGCATCCTGGCCGTATGGCTGACTGGTCATATGAAGGTCACACAACCATTCTTGTGAGTACTACTTGGGGCTGGTGCAAATCCACGCAAAAATCATCCCATTCAGTGAAAGGTGTATGTCCAGGATTTGGCGGTATCGCGGCTTGGCAGTGCCGGCATGAATTCTGGCACGAAGGAGGCAGAATCAAAACCGGTTGAATTAAAAGAAACGATCCCAACATCAGCTGAGGGACTACAAGGCCCTCCACCAAGTCCGATTGCCCTGGTTTGATCTTGGCTCACTTGAGCTTGACCAAGCGCCATGCAACCGCAGTCCTTGCATCTCCAGCGCTCCCAAGAGTTCGTCCATCGCTCGAACTCGAACCCATCGGCCCGATCCAACGCAGGTGCGGCAAGTGGGGCAGGAAGAGGCTCGATCCAACCACTGTTGCCTTTCGCAAGAAAGAAACCTCAAGCCCATTACCTGCCAAAAGGGCCTTTCATGGAAAGGAAGAAATCAAGCTGTGCAGCAAAGTTTATGGAATAAATTCCATTCAAGGCGGTGAAGCATGTTGAGCCATGAGACGACTTGATAGCAGAATGAGAACAGTTTGAGTCGAAACGGCACTAAACTTCCAGCTTGCAGCCAGGCTGCGCGCATCTTCGGCAGAAGACATGTCCGCAGGGGATGAGGGCAACGCAGTGTCTCAGGCGCTCGTGACAAATCGGGCAATTGCCCACATCTGACCTTAGCATCTTGCCGAGCGGCTGCTTCAAACTCAAAAGAAAACGACTACGAAATGTCCTAACGCAAAGCTGTCCCACCGCATGGCCAAGAATCTGGGGGTTCCCTAAACGACTGCATTACTTTTAGAGGGAACCCGTCTGGCGCGCGACAAACCCCCTGGCCTGGACTCACATCCATCATGCGCGCGCTTCCCCATGGATCCATGGCGCCCCGTGCATGGGAAGACACCGCGGCAGCCGCGGCAGGCAACGTGGAGGGGGGTTCCACCACTGGTCTCCAAAATTGGGGTACCCCCAAGAGAGGTTGTTGTCCTTTGGCTTCCCTTTCAAGCCATCCCAACGGGTAGCCTTGAACCAAGACACACCCACGCTGAGCCTTTCCCTGGTCTGCGGAAAAGAGACAAGCACAGAAGCACAGGCTTTCCTTGGGTGCCGTCTCTCTCGGGCCTCCGACGGAAGACCATCTGGAGGATCTGCGCAACATCTCACCATTAAGAAAAGATCCATGCCAGCAACAAAAATGCAATGGGCCCATTCAGGTGGACTTCAGGTGGACATGTCTAGGATTCCCAAATTTTCTTGAAGGGAGTCCCGAAAACTGCCCCTTCAAAACCTCAATGCAAGGAAGATACAAGCACCCACCTCTGCCCAGCTTTTCCAGCTCTGCTGAGGACACCTAGGGCGAGAAGCAAGTCTGAAGCGCACGGTCTGCAGTCCTGCAAGTAGGGTTCCACTTGGACGCAAGTAAATGGCACAATCTCCCCATTTTGATTCAGTCATCCCCTGTAAGTACCATAAAGGGAATTGT